CAAGCCTATGTATTTTTTCCAAGAGAAACAAAAACACATGTCTGCAAAAAGACTTGTATACAAATACTCATAGAATGTTAATTCACAAAAGTTAAAAGATAGAAACAACTAAATATCCACCAACAAGTGAATGAATAAACAAATGTAGTATATCCATTCAATGGAACACTCTTCAGCAATGAAATGAACTACTGATACAAACAGGTACACAGATAAATCTCTAAACCATTATGCTAAGTGAAGAAAATACACATAAAAATATATACTTCTATGATTCCATTTATATAAAATGCACACTAATGCATAGTATGAAAAAAGCAAAGGGTCTTAAGAAATCTTGTCAGGTGATGGAATATTCTGTATCTTGCTTGTGGTGGTGGTTTCATGGGTCTAGACCACTGTCAAAACTCATAGAATTGAGCCCTTTAAAATAGATGCAGTGGGCCGGCCCCGTGGCTTAGCAGTTAAGTGCGTGTGCTCCGCTACTGGCGGCCCGGGTTCGGATCCTGGGCACGCACCGACGCACGGCTTCTCTGGCCATGCTGAGGCCGCGTTCCACATACAGCAACTAGAAGGACGTGCAGCTATGACATACAACTATCTACTGGGGCTTTGGGGAAAAATAAGGAGGAGGATTGGCAATAGATGTTAGCTCAGAGCCAGTCTTCCTCAGCAAAAAGAGGAGGATTAGCATGGATATTAGCTCAGGGCTGATCTTCCTCACAAAAAAAAAAAAAAAAAGAGAGAGAAAGATAAAATAGATGCAGTTTATATTACCTAAATTAGCCCTCAATAAAGTTAGTAGGGAAAAATAAATATAGAGAGAGCCTTCACCCAAAGAGATTGTAAACATCTTAAGGAGTTTAACAAAGATAAAAGTTCTATGCAGTGTTTTACCTTTCTTATATATATCAACAAATATTTAGCCAGCTGTAAAATGTCATTCCTTAAACAGGGCTGTTTCCTGAAGTAGTGTACTATGTATCTGTTTCCATTATTACCCAATCTCTCTGCTCAATTATTTTTACCCACTGACAGGTTTTTCTTTGTGGAAAAAGAGGATGTTACCTCTTTATTTTGTCCACACAATTATAAATTGCAGTTGAAAACAATGCTGATAAATAATGTAAATTGTCTATAAAGAATCCTAAAATGATAAGAAAGAAAGTCTAGCAAAAGGAATATCTTGGGAGCAAGATACTATGATATAAAGAAAAGAACGCTAGAATTAGAGTTTGAAGTTTGGGTTCTTGGTCTCTGTAACTTGTATTAAATTTATCTTGGCCTTAGCTTCCTTACCTAAACAATGAAATGATCTCTTAAGCCCATTCTGGCTCAGAAATTCTGTGAATCTAAAAACATTTAGCACAGATTATCAAAGATAAAAGAGAAAAATAAAAAAGAACAGTTTGGGGAAAGAAGGATTTATTAGCCAGAAAAATAAATAAACGATTCAGTCTGAATCTGAGGTAGGATTTGCGGAAACATGCAGACGATGAGGTTTTTCAAAGAGATAGGTAACATTCCCCTCCTACTCATGGTCATTCCGATCCCACCCTTACTGGGTGCAGAGGAGGTTAGGCATGTGCTAGATTCTCTTGGGAGCAAAGCCACGCCTCTTAGCACTCCTTCTGACCCTGTGGGCACTGATATCTGAGCCAAGGCAACGAGGCGAGAACTTGCTAGCTGCTCAGGGCACCCAAGTTTCTTGTTTCTAAAGCTGAATGTGAGCTCAGCTCCAGCAAGATTTTCTGAGCACACCTGAGCAATCTACCTTGCTCTCTTTCTTTAAAAAATACCTAGGGAATTCTCTGATAAGGAAAAGATATTCTAAATCCTTGAAAAATCTTAGAAGTGGTTACAAAACAGATTGAAATATTAATATGCTATAAGCTAAGTGAAGCTATTTAAAAATCAAAATTAAATAACAGCTAAATTAATAGGTGAACATAGTGAGTCAAAACAATTCTTCTTTTGAAAAAAAAGTCTATATCTCTTAAACGCTGACATCCATTAGAGAATTTTATAGGTTTTAAATGGTTTTGTGTCAACTCAATTCACCAGCACCATATCTATACAAAAAAGTTCTTATTCTTTCTTTCAGTCACTCACTAAATACGTGTTGTCTGTCCCTTAAACTGGAGGATGGGAGGAGGCATAAAGAAGAAAAAATATTTTTCATCTAAGAAGCTTATAATCTAGAACAGAAATATAAGACTTAACCACAAAAAAGTAGAATGTTTTTGAAAAAATAAGATAAATAAAAAGAAGTTTGAAATGTATTCAAAGGAAAACTATATTGTACATTTCAAAATTCAATTTTTTTAAAAATCATAAAATATTTCAAAATATGTAAAGATTGTAAGCACGTAAAATTAGGTATCGCTAGTCCCAATAGATGAATGAGAATGTTAAATAAGGCAATGTACCTTTCTCAAGGTCACACAGTGATTCAGCTTAGAAATCCAGAACTATGTGAGTTCTGGAATGTAATTTCATTCTAGGATATGAGACCACATCCCTACAAAAGAGACCAAAGTTATTCAGTTGTCATATAAGAAAGTCCCTTGAATGGAATATCAAATTATATATACTACTCTTGATCTTCTTAGCATTCTGCTTTGCATCTTCTTCCTTCTCATCCACACATTTTTAATTTTCCTTTTTAGTTAATGTGGAATTTTCCTCTCTTCCCAAATCAGTACATCCTTTTGAACTACAGTCTCCTTTAATTGCCTTCTACTTTTTTTATGAATGTCTGAAATCTTTGTCATGAGCTTCCTAGTAAGGTATTGTATATAAACAATCTAGAATTTGTTTAGAATCAAACATATATGGAGCCAGTCAATAACTGCAGAACTATTCTCAGATTCAGGAGAGGGAAAAGAATGTATCATGGATCTTGGCATTCCCCAAGCAAATAAGCCATTAAATAATAAAATTAACAGGGCAAGCAAAATATATTGTTTACTCTTTTAAGTAATTATTTATATTAAATATTTCATGACACACTTGACATGCCAATAATTCTCCTTCAGGTTACCCCTCTTAATAAAAAGAGAGAAACTAAGAGATAGAGTAGCTCTGTCACTGAAACGGACATTGATAAAAAACAGGTCTCAAGGCTCCCGATTGGCATGGCCAGATCACATTTTCCAACAAACTGATATTTATCTACCCTAGTTTGTATTTAAATCACTCAAAGTCTAGAAGCGTAAATTCAATTCTGCCAATAGTTCTATTAGATGCAATATCTGGAAGTAAATTTCATCAGATTTTGTTAAATTTGCTACTCCGACTTCTATAAATACTCATTAGTTGGCTACTATTCATTATCTCATTTCAATCTGATGTATACATTAATTGTATTCAGTGATTTAAGACTCATCCATATGGACTGTTGATGTTTTTTATAAACTAATTTTGAAAAATTGGCTTGATTTTCAGGTATACATTAAAAGGCAATGACGGCAATGACACTAAAACCAAGTCTATATATGACTTTGGCCTTTATAAATTTGGAACAGATTTTAATTAGTACCCAGGAAATTCACTTTGTGAACCTTGCCTTTTTTATTGGTGCCCTGTGAGGCAACTGTAATTGGAAAATCAGAAGGTTCTCACTTGCTGAAAAAGACAGTAAATGTTTAATATTTGTGTATGTGATGTACTAATGAAAAATATCATCCAGGAAATTAGTGTCGTGGAAGGCTAAAAATTAATCTAGCTCAGTAATGAATATATATATGCATGTATATATATATGTTTATATGGATGTATATATGTATATGCATGCATTGGAAAACTGGCAATACAAAATTCATGTTTCGAAGTCTTTATTGCCCTACCAATACTAAAGATATGAGACATATCCCCTGTAAAATATTAAAAATCTGTATTGACTCAACATTAACAATTTCAATGTACATCTCAAATCTGTGAATTTTCACCTTATGTGATAAATGATGTGCATATGTAAGTGATATTTCCATATAGCAATTATAATATAAATAGCTTTCATAAAAAATCTTATTCTTCTTGATACTACGTATGAAAAACCTGGGGAAAAAAGCATTTGTTCACATTAAATAGAGAGAATCATCTAATTAAATCCAAAGAGATCCAATAAAATTGGGAACTCTTTAGTTTTACTAAAATAAAAATCAAAATAAAATTGACAAATGAATTTTATTCTAAACAAAGACCCAAAAGGAAAAAAATATTTAAATACAGTTTTTTTTTCTTACCAGTCCCATATACTACTCATAGACCTTTAAGTATATATTTTACTTCCTTTGTTTATTCCTTCTAATAGCGATATATATTACACAGTGGAATGGTAAGTCTAATGTTGCTAAATTTTCTACCTACTTCATACAGTGAAAGGAATCTTTAGGAATAAAGGTTGTTAAAAAATATATATATACACATTCAGATTTCCTAACTGTATTTACTTTAAGAGTAATATTTCAGTCTCACATCTTAGGTCAAAATTAAGATAGCAGTAACACATTAAGAACTCACTCCTCCCTCTGTGCTTGTCACTCAAGCATTTGAATGGATTCTAGTTGATAGTAACCACATGTGGTCCAGGAAATGTAGAAGTGGTAGCCTAGCCAAAAGATCTTTCTGGATGGCAATCTGCCCCCACACCAGCTACCTCTGCTCTGTTGCTCTGTGGCTCCTGGGGAACATGGCCAACCTAGTTTAATTCCTAAGTATGAAGATTTAAAAAAAAAAGCAAAATAGTTGCAATCCAGATCTTAACATTTTGAAGTGGCAATGTGGTTTCCCTACAAATAGTTCTTTTGAAATGTTGGACCCCTCTCACATATCCAAATCATTCCGTAGAATAGAAGACTATATAAGTGAAAACAGAAAGTGCCCTTAATATTTAAAAATTATCTTTTAAATTTACGCCAAAGAAATGTACTAGTATAACTAAATTTTCACCAAAACTTATTAACATGCAAACATGTACATATTTTAAAATCTCTTACCTCCTTCCAGGAAAAATACTTAATTCCTGAAGTACATTTGTTCAGTCCAACTGGTTATTTTAAGTACCTGGACACTTTAAGTACCCTATAAAAATAAACAAGTTCATTCTTAGCATTTAATATAAATCAAACAACTAGTAATCAGTTAACAGATGCTTCACTAATTTAAAAGTCAGTATAAATTTCTTCAAACAATCTTTGACACCTTGCATGGGAAAATGTAACGTGGGAAGGAAAAAGGTATTACGAGAGGCAGATGCTGAATTTGACAAACATTTCACACTGGCTCTTCCAAACAAATTACAATTTGTAATCACTAATTGGATTTGAGGTACTTGAAATAATTCATTATTTAGGCTCTGACTTTGCTAAAGAATAACTGATTTATTTGAGAATTAATGGAAATTCTAACACTCTCTATTGATTTGTCTGTAACACTATGATGTCATTAACATTTTTCACTACTGATGATGAAAGGCTCACACCGACAACCCAGCTAAGCAGTAATTTCATGGCACCACTAGCACGTACCCAGATTCCACTTTAACAAAAGGTTTTTTTTTTTTCCTGAATAAACAAAAGATAGCATATATGGAAACTAAATAGAAATTTTAAATAACTGAATCTTTTCAAATATGAAATTTAAAACATGCCTTGAATAATTTTGTTTTACTAAAATAGATGCTTTGTAGCATTGATCATATGCTATTTCATATTTGAATAAAAATGAAAACAATTTAGAAAACAAAGTAAAGACAATTCAATCTAGGCCAAAGACCTCATATTATCTCATTTGGGAAAATATATAATTTGGTCAAAAAACATGCAATGGAGATTCATTAGCTAAATATTAACCTTATTAAACAATATTAATTTTATTTGTCAATAAAAACTACAGTAATACAGATTCCAAAGTAGTATTTCTCTCAGTTATTTCCAATCCCTTTTTTTACTGTAAATTTTTGAGAAATATAGAATATTTCGATATTACTATATTCCTGAGAAACATAGAATATATTATCCTATATGCATTTATACAACATGCTTCTGTTGGATCCCTTTCTATGTGATAGGATTAAGAAAATTTAAAGAGTTGATTTAAGCAAAGAATTTGTGCCAGGTGTATAGGTAAATAAGCAGACAATCTGTTGCCCCAAGCGTATATGCAATCATTGGCACTCCAATGTTAATATCATATTAAATATTCCTCAGATACATGCATCACAAGATGGTGAAATTATTTCATGGCAGTGATAAAGTGGGAAACAAGATCTTTGGGGGAGAGGAGTCAAGTGACTCAGAGACTAGTGTTTCTGAAGACTCATCTATGTGGATATTGAAATTAGTAGACTATATGACAAGAATGGAGTTGGAGAGAGTGACAGTAAGCTAAAGCTAAAAGCTTAAAGGAAGAGGGAAAGTACCAGAGGTTGGTGGAAGACTTCTATAAAGAGGAATAGCAAGTAGTATCTACTAACTCTTGAGATCACAGCTGGGCAGTTTTAGGGAGGAAGAAAGAAACTGCTCTGGATGTCACACTGAGGAGCAAAGAGAACATTCATTACCCCACCTGCAATCTCAGTGATAGAAATGGTGTGGTAGGGAAATAGCCATCTCTTGAAAGGTGGCATGAGAAGTAGGGTCATCAGGGAAGAACCAGGCTTCATTTAGAAAGAAGATGAGGGGAAAATACATAGAAATGGTTGAAGATAAAGGTGCTTTTTTTTGTGTGTGTGTGTGAGGAAGATCAGCCCTGAGCTAACATCAGTGCTAATCCTCCTCTTTTTGCTGAGGAAGGCTGGCTCTGAGCTAACAGCTATTGCCAATCCTCCTCCTTTCTTTTTTTCCCCAAAGCCCCAGTAGATAGTTGTATGTCATAACTGCACATCCTTCTAGTTGCTGTATGTGGGACGCGGCCTCAGCATGGCCGGAGAAGTGGTGCGTGGGTGCACGCCCGAGATCCGAACCCGGGCCACCAGTAGTGGAGCGCGTGCACTTAACCCCTAAGCCACGGGGCCGGCCAGATAAAGGGGCTTTTTTGATGAATTCCAGAGAGCATGGTGAAAGGGTATCAGGAGACAGAGAGGATTCTGGAATGAGGATTCAAGTCTTGAGAATCAGGAATGACTTGGAAGTTCTGGATTCCTTTTGGTCAGTGACATAAAACAAGAAAGCAGGTATGATGAGTCAAATCCTGATTTTCCCAAGACAGAGCATAGTGATGAGGCTGTGAGTATCATTCTGGGCAGAGGGGTGGTTGTGAGGTCTTGTCAGGAGTGTTCAGTGTTTCAGGGTATCTACCTGACTCTTGATGATAGTGCTCTCTGACCCAGCAAAGGATGCATGAATTCTTCTTGACTTCTGATGGACACCTTTAGGCTAGCATGAGGGCTCTCTTTCTCCCTTGACCCCCAAAGGTGGTGGCCTGTAGACACCACATGTGGACTTCCTTTGTACTCACATGGAAGGCATCCTACAGCCAGTCTAGAGGTCAACTTACTCTGAGCACATTGCTAATCTCTTGAGCCCTGCTGATGGTGGCTTCACTCCCAGTATGTTGCTGAATCTTCTGCATATGAAGACCTAAAGGCCTGCAGAGGAGCAGATCAGAATACCTCAGCGTTCTGATCTCCTCTTTTTTTTTTTTTTTTT